ACATATATGGCTGAACCTCCACATGATCCCAAAATTAGTCAACAAGACCATCCACCACCACCTGTCCAAACAAGCCCTCCTCCTCCTCATCCACCAATACAACCACCGCCACCACATACTATATTGCACCAAGCAGATGAAAAACTAGAATCTCCAAGAAAGGTTCAAAGAACCTCCACCTCTAGTGGCTCACCTAGCAGCCGCCCCACCAGTGGTAAACACCCCCTATACCGTGGAATAAGGAGCCGAAGTGGCAAATGGGTGTCAGAGATTCGTGAGCCAAAAAAGACTACACGCATATGGCTAGGGACTTACCCTTCACCGGAGATGGCCGCAGCAGCCTATGATGTGGCGGCGCTAGCCCTAAAAGGGAGTGATCATGCTTTATTAAACTTCCCTGATCGAGTTAGTACATATCCGGTTCCGGGTTCGCCTTCACCTGCTGAGATTCGACGAGCAGCCGCAGCTGCAGCGGCCTTGATGAAGCCGGTAAGCAATACTGAGGACGTGGTGGTTGAACCGCCGGGAGATGGTGGTTCAGCAAATGCGCAAGTGGAGCGTGAATTTATAGACGAAGAGGCACTTTTTGATATGCCTAATTTGCTGGTGGACATGGCGGAGGGAATGCTTGTTAGCCCACCAAGAATGACTTCGCCGCCGTCAGATGGCTCGCCGGAAAATTCTGATTCTGAAAGCCTGTGGAGTTACTAACAGAATTTCAATGAATTTTTTTTTTTTTTAGAAAACGTATTAATTGTTCCTTAATTTGAATTTGGGACAATACATTTAGTTGTTAGAACAGAAGGATGAATGATTTATCCAATGAATGTTATGCAATTGCATCTTTGTGAGACAGAAAATTGATATTTTGTCAATTATATGTTTTGCTTTTTGGAAGCAGAATAGTGAAAACCTAAAACCTAATGGGATTTTTTAGGGTTCCAAAAAAAGTATTTTGTAATAGTTTGATTTCGAAATCTCTCTATGTCTGTATGAATTTATAGTATAAATGTGTAATGAACTATGATGTTTTCAACCCAAGGGACAAGCATGATGAATGCAAGTTTAGTTTCTTTAATTTTTACATTGTGTACACGTTCGAGGATGGGATAATTTTATTTTTTTATTTCCCTTTTAACTGGAGATGAGGTCGAGACCGCTCCTAAGATTGTCTAATGTTTTATTTTAGTTATTAATAAAACATTCTTAGTGATTTAATAAATGAAGAAAGAAAAAAGACAAGGGACGAACAAGAATGATGTACCTATGGTGAAAGAGGGCTTCTAGCTAGTTCCAAAATCGGCTTCGAACACCAATCCCATTTACTAATTTCCTTTCTCCCATGCCTAAAAATTTTATTATTGTCGTCCATACTGTCCTTGAGGATCAAATCCCGCGTGAGATGTTCGTTGGATTCTTTGATCTTGACTAATGACCTATCCGATGAATTTCTTTCGTTCTTTTGATTTTTATACATTTCACTATTGTATAGTGTGTCAAATGTGTGGGATGACGATGAATTATAGAACTGAAATCACTTGCCCTAAAACCCTCCTAATTGAAATCTTGTTATTAATTTCTTAATTTACTTGTTTATGAGCAACTTTATTTATTTATATATTTTTTAAATAATCTATTCTAAATTTTGACAGATGAAAATTAAATAGCCTACATTAATAACCAGCATAAAACTTTGTCAACTCTGTTAACATGAATCCATACACAAATATTTCATTTGTGATGTCTCGAATTTTAGTTTTTTTAGATCTTCTAATATATCTAACAAAGAATTAAATGGATGATGAAAATGATTACTCTCCATGTCTGCAACCTAAAAACACTGTTTACTTTTACTGGGCAGAAAAAAAATTTACTTGGATAATTTTGATTATTATTTAGAATGAATTGATTTTTGGAGCCCATTGAATTTAAAATTAACATGAATTGAACTGCCAAACCGAATAAGCAAATAATGAGAAAAGAGGGGGACAAAAAGGTGGTTTAATGATTTTACCAACACAAATATTGGGTCTTTCCGAAATCTTAGAAAAAAAATATTTTGGTCAAAACAAATCGTCCTTGGAATTGCTTTAAGGTGAAAGAAAATTTCTAGATCGAGTATGTAATTATAATTTGTCATAATTGAGCACTATTATAACCACTGGACATAGAATATATAATCAGTAACTACGTCAGGTTATAAGTTAAAATCATTAGAGCAAAAATTGTATATTTAAAATTTATAAATTTGCAATTTGAATTTATTTTTAAGTCAATGGGTTTATATATATATATATATATATATATAACACCATATTATGCCAATTAAAAAAAAGGGAAAAAGAAAATAAGGCTTTAAATTATAAATACGCAATATTAGAAATGACATGATAATGAGTAGATAAATTTAAGCTTATTTTTATATTTTTTAATATTGTTGATCACCGCTTGCTTACCTTATCAAGTATGAGATAATGTTTTGGATTGAGTTTTCGGGGGGTAAAAAATATTGGTGGCAATGAAAGTTAAATAAGATACTTTTATTTTGTTTGTTATGTCATTGAACGTTTGTTACAATTTGGTAACTCTGACTTCAATCTTTATGACAAATGTGAGTCTCTTAGTTGCAGTTTCATCCTCTTCATACATATCGTTTGACAATACTATTATCAACTTTTACTTGTAAGTGCGCCGTTATAGTTCTTGATCATTCTTGTTAGTTTACAGATCGAAATTCAACTTGCAACAAGCTTTTCGATGAAAAAGTGGGATTTAGAAGAGCTAATAGAACATTAAAACTATAAAAATTAAGAAGGGTCAAATCAATGACAAAACCCGATGAAGTCGGTAGATCAAGAACTAATGTGGCAATTTCCTCTCAAAAATATTTTTGATTGAGACCGGAGAAAATCTTAAGATATGGTAGAGACCGTTGGGGTGGGTAGCAGTCGGCCATGAGATATCTAATATTAAAAGTTGAACTTTTGTTGTTTCTTAGCATATTTCGTCATATTTTGTTTTCATCACCAAAAAGAAAAGTTGCTTATTTGTTGGGTGCGCTTTTTGTCTCATACAGAATCTTACAAAACGAAGAATCGCATTTATTTGAATGATTAGAGGACATGACTTTGACTTAAAAACGTTGTTATGGCCGACATTAATCTATTTTGCGATTTCTCCCCCTCTCTTTCATACTGAGAGTTGGTGGGATGTCATTTTCCAAAACCCTTTATGTATTTATACTTTTTTTTTTTTATATTTTTATGTGTAAAATATATTCATAGAGCTCACTTATTGGCAATTGGTTGAACTTTTACTCATCTAAACTTCTTTAATGATTCTTCATCAGTCAATTTCAAGCGAAAGAACATCCGGGCCGACATACTATGCAACATGCAAGGCTAAACTTTAAAAGGGGAAGTTATTTTTGATTAACATTAACCTTAAATGCTCCTATACAATCACTTATTAACTTCTAACTTTTACTGATTAAAATGTTATTTTATTTGAAAACTTATTTACTCGGATGTGGACTTTTTAAGCTTAGCGAAATACGTTCTATCAAAATTTAAAAGTCTGTATGAGACCTTATTGGTCAATAATAAGTCGATTCATTCATCATTGGAACCAAAACGACTTGAAGTTGCATGCTTAGCTAATTTAGTTCACATTATATATTATAAATGAGACGATCAGTTGATCAAATTTGTTATAATAGAACTAGCGGTGATTGATTAATTTTAAAATTTATTCACATCAAACTTATATCAAAACTTAAGCTTGAATATGATTTATTCGAGGGCGCAACAACTTTAATCTCTTTTATGGCACGTTTACACTGTTGATATAGACAAATATTATTCGATCGAGCATTTAGCACAAAATTTACAAAACTCTAATTAAATTGATATGGGCTATTTATACTACCTCATAAATTCAAAGAACTCTAACTCGACTTAAAAGTATAAATTTAAGTGTCTCTATATAGATATATTTATGTATGTGTATGTCTATATTGGAGTGGTTACACTATAGAAGACTTGAAGCACATATTCTCCTAATATTAAACTAACTCCCCAAATCTTGATTACCTTATGGGTGTAGACCGTAGACCATAGACCATATGGTGAAAACAGAACAAATTTTATATTACAAATATTCTGTTTCTGGAAGTTGAGAGCATGATTATCTACCTAATGGGAAAATTTATTGATCCTAACCGAAACTGAATGAGAATAAATTATGATATTAGTACTTTGCATTTGAATTTTCAAAATGATCTCTAAATAGAAGGAATCAAGAAAAGTAATGTGGTTGACATATTCATAATTTTTCACATATTATAATTAGTATATTGAATTAAGTCCCTGTTTGTTTGATCCTCATTTTCTAAAAATTCATTTTTTCTCAAATTAATTTTCAATCACACATTCTTATAACAAAATATTTTACATGTAAATCTAAAACTTTTTCGTAATTTTTAATCACACATTATTAAAAAATTCACTATTATAAAACTCAGTTTAAACAAAAATGGGCTCAAACATAGGCTAAATGCAATTGTATAAGATTCAAGAAAATAATAAATGCTATGCATTCTAGTCCATATGTGGCATTGACTCTTCTAACACATGGATTGATAATTATTTTGGAGCTCTAGATAAATAATAATATTCTAAAGAAAAATACAGTCACATAGATTGATGATAATATGAACTCTAGATGAATAACATTATTCTAAAGAAAAAGAGGCTTGCAGTAAGTTGCTATCGTGTTTAATTTTAATTTTGTAATATGCCAATAATGTTCATCTTAACGCTTAAAAAATTTTGATAAATGGTTGACAAGGAACATGAATCCAAAATCTTTATATTCTTTTATTGAGGTAATATATATCTTTCAAGAGTAAACTATTTAAGCAAGAATAATTTATTATTTATATTTATATATTATACACGCGACAAAAATATGGTAGAAATTCATAACTTTTCTAGATCAATCTCTTTGTTCGATGAATGCCAAATATTATAGCCAGAATCAATTATACTTATCATAAAAGTTATAGTCATATGAGAATTAGTGGATTAGTGGCTCGTTTGAACTTTTTAGGTTCTGACTATAAAATCCTCAATGTTCAAAATTTAAAACTATAGAATTTACAATTTTAATCAAAGAAATTAACAAACTCTCCCCTAGAATTTATACCCTTTATATTTAGAAAATATTTGACATCCCACTAAAAATTGTCCCATAATTAAATGAACATGCAAAAGTGATTTTTCTAATTTTCCTTTTCCCTTTTCCCCTTTTGAGGGATAACAATATAATATGCTTTAATTACCCACATTTTCATATATTTTAACAGATTAACTTTTTAAATTTAAAATTGAGCTGAAACTATCAAAAAATATGATTACAAAATGAAATTCAAAATTTTGAATCTTATTCTAATCAACTTTGTTGTGTTTTTAGTATTCACAAGAATATTTACATTTTCTACATTTAAATAGTATAAATGTCCCGAGTATTGGAAAATCTTTTCACCACGTCACTTTTCCTATACCATCAAATAAAAAACCATCAAATCTCATCCACTCACAAATTGGTATCTGAGCTTGTTTTCAGTCAAAATTACACAATTTATGAAAAGAGTAGACTATAGCTTCATTGAAATCATAAAAGGAAAGAGTAGACTGTAGCCTTTGTTTGAGCCACGTTATTTTTTCAAAAATATATTTTTGAATAATATATTGATGAAAATATATAGTTAAAAAATATAAAAAAATTTGAATTTATGTTTGATATTATTTTATTGAAAAATATATGGTTGAAATAATATCAAATTATTGATTAAATTTTTTTTCCTTTTTTTGAAAGAATGTGATTCAAACAAACCGTAATATCTTATACTAGGAATGTAAATCAACCAAATTATTAATTATTATCTTAAATTTGTTTATTTAATACATTGTTTCCTTTTTAATTTTCTTATTAAACGATTGTAGAACACGTATTTGTGTTCAGTTGGTAATCACTTGTAAAATAAGTAAGGGTAGGTTGTTTTGTTGTTTCAAGTTCAATT